CTTGGTGGCCAACTCACAGGACAGACCAGAGCAGTGATATCCAGGAGAGAAGGGAACCTTTGGTTGAGCACAGCCTTCCGTGTATTGTTCCTCTCCTGTGGTCTTTAGCTGATTTTTGGTGCAAGGCAAGAGGTCAGAAAGTCTGTGGGTAGTTGACAATAGGAAGAGAAGACAGCAGAGCTATAGACAATGTCATGGGACCGGGGACTCAAAACTTGGAGTTTGAGGGTGCTAAGGTAGTCAGGGCTTAAGGGATTAAGATCCCCAAGAGAAGTCCAGAACAGTGAAGCCAGATCTAGACAGAGTTTTCCTTTTGAGGCATTTGCTGATTTATTATATTATATAATAAATATTATTATATTTAGTAATTTATCAAAGTTGCTGGTTGTAAGATTAGTATTAGTATTAGTATTAGGCAAAGAGCTGACAGTTCAGAGTTTTTGGAAGCCTGTGGTACTGGAAAGATAGAAATTGGGTTTCCCAGCCTGCCAAGTAGGGGGATCTTAGGAAATAAACTAGGCTCTCTGTTAAGACTTCAAGAGGACTGAGAAGTAGCAACAGAGGTAGTCTGAATCCTACCAAGTTTGCTGGCCAGCCATGAGTCGGCTGTTGGTGACTGGACAGAAGTGACTTGCTCTCTTGCCATTTGCCGCCTACAAGAGAGTTGTGTGAATCCTCTCTGGAAGGAGAGAACCTAACCTCCAAAATTTTTCATATGTATCGTTCAGTAAAATATTACCAAGCATCTAAGAAACAAGAGTACAAGGAAAACAAGATAATAGACATAGACCCAGAGGTGACTAAGATACTGTAGTTTCAGAGACTTTTTAAGTAATTTTGATTAGGATAGTCAAGAAATTAGTTGATGAGATGGAGGAGTTTCACTGGAGAATTGGAATCTATTAGATAAGTGGAAATTTGAGATTTAAAAAAAGACTTCTGAAATTCAGTGGGGGATTTTAATAGCAGATTGAAAAAAACTGAAGAGAGAATTTGCTAGTAGGCAGGTCCATGGAAAGATCTAGACAGAATCGTTTTTTAGTAAGAAGAATGATAGATACAGACATGAGAATAAAAGACAAATGACTCATTTTTGAAAGGGCCTAATGTGGGGATATCAGAAAGGGATTAAGAGGGAAATGACCAGAAACAATATTAAAGAAATAAAGGCTGGGCTGGGGTTGTGGCTCAGCAGTATAGCGCTCGCTTAGCATGTGCAAGGCCCTGGGTTCAGTCCTCAGCACCACATAAAAATAAATAAATAAAATAAAGGTATTGTGTCCAACTACAACTAAAAATAAATATTTTTTAAAAAATAAATAAGGGCTAAGAATTTTCCAAAACTAATGAAATACATCAAGCCTCAGATTTAAAAAGCTCTATGTGCCCCAGACTGGATAAATTAGAAGATGTTCACAGCCATGTCAGAGAAAAACTGCTGAAAACCAAAGTTAACAGATAATTTGCCTTTTCAAAGAAGCAGTGATACAGTCATATCTATAAAAATTTTATAGCTAACACTGTAGTTAGTGCTGAAATATTGTTTTCTCCCTAAGTTTGAGAACATTACAAGGTCCACCATCACCACTGCTATTCAATTTTATATGAAGATTCTAACTAATTCAGTATGGAAAGAAAAAAGAAAAGAATACAGAATGTGAAAAGAAGAAATAAAATGGTCTTTTGTTGCATACAACCTGATGCAATATGTAGAAAATCCAAAAGAATCAATAGTTATATTATTATATTTAGTAAATAAACTTATCAAAGTTGCTGGTTATAAGATTAGTATAACAGGGCTGAGGTTGTGGCTCAGTGGTAGAGTGCTTACGTTGCATGCACAAGGCCCTGGGTTTAATCCCCAACACCAAAAAAAAAAAAAAAAAAAAGATCAATATAACAAAAAACAGTTGTATATTCCATCAATAAAACATCAGAAAATAAGAATTTTAACCTATAGCATTTATAAAAATTTGAAACCACCAAATATGTAGGAGTAAATCTATCAGAATATGTATAAGACCTCTATACAGAAAACTATCAAGAAAGTCTTTAAAGAAATTAATAATGCTCTAAGTACAAGAGGTAGCCGAGTGCAGTGGCACATTCCTGTAATCCCAGCAGCTCGGGAGGCTGAGACAGGAGGATTTAGAGTTCAAAACCAGCCTCAGCAATTTAGCAAGACCCTAAGCAATTCAAAGAGACCCTATCTCTAAATAAAATACAAAATAGGGCTGGGGATTTGGCTCAGTGGTCAAGTGCTCCTGAGTTCAATCCTTGGTACCCCCTCCAAAAATAAGAGGTAGCCCATGTTCATGGATTAAAAGATTTAATATTGTGAAGACATTGGTTAACCCAAAATTTATTTATATATCTAATGCCATCACAAAATTCGTCTCAGGAGCATAAGAAAGAGAGAGAGAGAGAGAGAGAGAGGACTTATATAGTAAAGCAAAGGGACAAGAATAGCCTTCTTGGGATAAAAGACCCAAATATCAAATTTGAAAAACTAAAGCTATCAAGACTCGTTTGGAAGCTAAGTATGGGGTTATTGCTGTTAAAACAGACAAGCTGACTTAGGGTACAGTGGCCAGGGTCAGATTCACATATGGACAGTCCCTTTATTTATGGCAAGTTACTGTCTTTAAGAATTAATTTCCCATTTATAAAATAGACTTAATTATAGTATATACCACCCAAGATTTAAATTTTATACATTAAAGATTTAGATATTACACTAATAGGCTAACACATTTAAGGGGTATCTTAAGTGCCCAATAAAATTTAGCTAGAATTAATTCTTAACATTGTAACTACCTCTATTGTTATAATTATTACAACTAATATTATTAACATTTTTTTCTTGTTTTCAATGTAATCATCTGTAACTGGGGGATGGGCAAACAGTGAATCCTGACTGGCAACAAAGAACATTTGAGGGTCACACAGAAGAGCAGCAAAAAATTCTTAGCCTACCTGGAAAAAAATAATAGAAGCAAGGGTGATAAATTTCATGACACAGTCAAAATTGATTTAGAAGCTAGAGTGGAACTTAGCCTGGCAATGGTATATACTGCACACACAACTGTATGTTTCATCTCTAACAAGATTGTGGTGATAAGGAATTAATGAGATAATGAAATTAAACCTCGGTGCACAGAGTGAAATCAAATGCACAGATGAAATCAAACTGAAGGCTGATTCATTTGTTGTTTGGTTGGTTGGTTAGTTGCTTAGATGGTGGTGTTATTGCCTAATGTCACACACCTCAAATGCTCTTTGCCATACTTCCCGTAATTTGGTAAATTAAATGACATAATTTTATAACCAGTCTTCCCAGCTCAGTCTAGATTGTAACAGATAACAGTACAGCTGCCCAGGGATCCTGCACACTGCACTTCGAAATTAGCACGAGGGATCTGCAGGAAGGCTGCATTCTCATGCACTCCTTCACTGAGAAAAACTCCAGTTGAGATCCCTTTCTGGGGATGGGGAGGGAGAAGTGATGCTCTCACTGCCCTCTGCTGCTTCCCGAGTGCCACCATGTTGCCTGGCATTGGGAAATGTGCTGTCTTGCCAAAGGGAGGGTGAACCTCTCTCCCTGCCCTGAGGAACTGGGAGAGTTGGTAGGTGTTCTTTTTCAGAGACAAGTTAGTTTCTAAGATCAAGTAAGGAGTTTGCTTCTGCAGCTTCCTCATCCTGCATTTCACACTGCTCATACCTCATGGCAGATGGAAGTCTGGACTTCCTCAAAGTCCAACCTTTACACTAAAGAGCTGGAGTATTAGTCCATTTTCTTGTTCTTCTTTTTTCTTTTTTTCTTTCTTTCTTCCTTTCTTTTTGAAGGAGGGGTGTTGGAAATTGAACCCAGGGCCTCATGCATGCTAAGCACACTATCACTGAGCTACACCCCCAGCTCCATTGCCCATTACTATAATGATATACCTGAGGCTGAGTAACCTATAAAAAATAAGATTTATTGCTTAGCATTATAAAAATAAATTCTTATAAATAAGAACAAAAAAAATAATAAGATTTATTTAGCTCATAGTTGTGGAGCCTGAAAGTCCAAACAGCATGGTGCTGGCTCTGGCAAAGGCTCTCTGGATATATCACATCATGGTGGACGGCATCATAGCAGGATGTGTGCAAGAGGGAGAGTTCACATGGTGAGGCAGGAAGCCTGAGAGCACAAGGAGGGGCTGGGCTTGCTCTTTGTAAAGTTCTAGTGAGAACTAACCAGGGTCCCACGAGAACACCAATATTTCCTTCCAAAGGTAGCGGCCTCAATTACCTAGGCCCCCACCTCTTAAAGATTTTACCGTCTTTTAACATTGCCACACTGGGAACCAAGCTTCCAATGCACGAACACTTGGGTTCACACCATGTACAAACCATAGCAGCCAGGTGCTAACCACGTGTAAGGTGTTCAGTATGTATGAGGCCTGTCATAAAAGCCCCATCCATATTCCTCCTCTCTTCTCTGAAATCCTCAAGCATTGACTATCCCTATCAGGAACTCTGGTTCTATTCCAAAGCCTTTGCTTTAGATGTACATATCTTTATTCCAACTTGATTTTAATATGAAAGAAACTCTTGCCTCTCACTTCTAGATCTGCATGTTCTTAGTAAATGCTGATTGGCAAGATTTCCTGGAACAAAACTGATATGACAGCCCAGCTGGGAAAGGCTCTTCCATTTAAAAGTTCTGCAGTAAATTCTACCCTGGATCCTCCGCAAATAACTAACAGTCTTTGAGTTCTCTCTGAATGGCTCTGAACCAGGATTGTGTAAGAGCCATGTTCTCCCATTCCTGGGGGACATTTTCATCTATCTAGCCCCTTGGCTGACCGCCAGCAGGAGGGATCACAGTGCTGGAAGCGATTTCTGAATGAGACGGAGGACATGGGTGGAGTCCCCTCAAGTCAGAACAGAAAACTGAATTGCCAAAAGAAATTTATCATCATCCTAATAAATGAAGCACATGATTTGCATTCCAGGTCCTTCAACTATTCTATGGGAACCCGGGCGCTTTCCCATGACAGTATTTTTATCCCTGATGGGGGAGCAGAAAGTGAGCAGACAGTTCAAGCAATGTCACAGGACAACATCCTGGGCAAAGTCAAAACTCTTCAGGTAAGACAGCTTAAGACTGGAAGGTCAGAGCCAGAGGAGGGGTCCTGCTGTGGAGGGAAGTGGACAAGTCCCTAGCTCATCCTTTAGTGATGGATTGGGAGGTTCAGGGTCGCTCCTGGTAAGATTCCTTCCTGAACCTAACTCAGTTCTCTGGAAGTTTCCTGTGCCCCTATGAGACATCACCATCATACCCACCTGCACGACTTGCCCTCCCCTTTTCCTCTCAAATTGTTCCTTTTAAAAAAAAAAAATGGACATGAGAAGAACAAGTACCCAAGAGAATCTGCAGGGCTTGGATGGGAAAAAAATCTCCTGACCAAATGAACCCATATTCCTGCCAATGGAATCTACATAGCACATGTTCACTGTCTGTCTCTATTGGTGGATAGTGATTGATGAGACTTTTTCTGCTGTGTTTGTAAATCTGGCTCCCCAGCCACCTTTTCTTAGAGGAACACCACAGGCTCCCTCCTGTTCATGCTGCAGGATGGGGCAGTTTTCCTACGTAAAAATTGACTCGGGGAGTGACTCCCTAGCAATGAAAAGACAATGATCCTTTACCAAATGCCATCAAAATAATGAGAATCCAGGGTAAGAAAGAAGACCAAAAACACTGAGGGTATGGCGGTAGGTTTGCCCCAGTTCTTGATAGAATTCCCTTGCCCCCAAATACCCAAGAGCAGTGCCAAAGCAAGCATTCTCTGAGATGGAAGCACTTAGAGGCTACCCAGATTTTGAACAGAGGGCTCTGGATTCTCATCTGTCTGTAAGTCTACAACAATGGGTGAATGAATAAGGGACAGGGGGAGGGAAAGAGGAAAAGCTGACCTGAGTGGCTACTGATATGATGAAGCATTGTACCCAATAGGAGATTTTGTTTTCTTGAGCTGCTCTTGTTCTCCTGAGCATGAGCTTTGTATTTTGTGACCTGTGTTTGGTCACATATTCCACACACACTCATCCAAAGGTGAATGCGGAATAGCCAACACCCTGTAACCACACCCAGGCATGCCTAGATCTTTATGCCTGTGGCCACTGCTGCCCAGGGCCAGAGTCCTGCCCGCAGAGCCAGCCCAGGCCTGTCCCTCATATCCCAGCGTGCCCAACCAGCTCCCACTCCTGGTTCTAGCTGGCTGTGCTCTGACGAGCCGATGAGTAGACTGATGGCAAAGCAGGCTGTCACTTCCCATAGGCTGGAGAAGAAGAGAGAATGGGCATGGCCAGGGAAAACCTTGACCCTCCCCCTTCTAGTCTTTTGATTTCTAGAATATTATTTCGAATAGGTTTTGAACTCCTGGCTCATCATATTCCTTTTCTAGGACGAATGACGTGCAGAATTCAGGGTATGAAATAGCTATATTTGTAAAATATAAAAACTTTCTAGAATTTCTTGAAAAAAAGACAATAGCCTGTTGTCTTCAATGATAGGTGCTCTGTAACATACCACATGCCACCACCACTCCAAAAACTGGTTGTGACAATACTTAAAATATTTAGTATATCATAAAGTTGCCATTTACATTCTTGATAAAAGAGATGGAATATGAAACCTGTGGTCACCTATGTTAATATTGCTACTTTGGACAATACTTGAGATTCATCAATACAGTATTTCTGGAGAAGCTACCAAATGCCAGAGATCATGGTAGGCATCTCCGCAGATGTTGTCCAGTTTAATGTTCACGACAATCCATGAGGCAATTGTGTAGTATTGAAAATATAGAAACCTAGTGAAAAATATGTGAGTGCTTAGGATTTGTTACCAATAGGCATGATTTTAAATAATCTGATCTGTTTAATCAGTAAAATATCGAATAACTAACTTTCCTGAAGTGACCGTTCTTTTAACGCAAGAAGAAAAATGTGAATAAAGCAAAATAATTATTTGAGTGCTCTCATTTTGATAACATCTCCTCATACGAGGTCTGCCTAATTTTGCTTCTGCTTGCATGGAGTCACAAGCTTCCTTTCAGCTTGGTAGTGAGGTTTTTGAAAATACAAAAGGCTTTTGCTCTTCAAGGAGGGAAATGGGGACTGTGATCATAGCAAATGTGAGTTTGGAGTAACCTAAGATGTGACTGTATCACCCCCAAAAGACTATGCTTTATTTTTCAGTCGACTAAGCAGTATGTTCCTGGTAAGTCGTAGAAATAGTAGTAACTTTATTAACTTGCATGAATGCTTTGCATTTTTCCATGACAACATTATGCTGGTGTCGATGCTTAGTAAGCAGCATAAAAGATCGCCCCCTCATAAACTCCAGCATGGAATGAGAGAGTTCAGCGTGTCAGAGGCATGTATGTTTCATGTCTGGAATTGTCTTTGTGTATATGTGTATGTTTATTTTTAAAGAGAGGTACGGGATGGATAACACAGTAAATGTCCTGACGAGCTGATTAGCCACCATATTAAGACATTCTTTTGAAATGAGATTTCTACTGGAATGCCATTTCAAAAATTTTTTTAAAAAAAATTTTTTTTCTCCATAGCTTAAAAAACTGCCCAGCCCTCAAACCCTTGGAAACTCCTAGAAGGGCATCTGTCTTTCTGCATTTGGCAAGGCTGCCCTCCAGTGTCCACAGCAGTCATCTCACCTAGAGCTGTCATGGTAGATGGGCAGCTGTTGGCATCTCAGTGCAGACTAACTGAATATAGCATAAATTAATCTGTCCTTTCCTGAATAAAGCCAGCCTATCACCTGCTAAAAATTTTGTGGCAAACTATTGAACCTTTTAAAAGAAAAACTAATTTTTTTTCTGAATATAAAAATAATACAGCCAGGCATGGTGGTACATGCCTGTAGTTCCAGCAATTCAGGAGGCTGAGGCAGGAGGATCACAAGTTCAAGGTCAACCACGGAGGGAACTAGGTGAAATAAAAAGTGTGTCAGGCCTCGGCCACCATCTGGCTCTGTGGCCTTGTAAAGAAGCCATTAAACTCTCTGATACTCACTTCACCCACCTTGATAAGGGGGAAGCCTGTGATGGACAATGTGAAGGGCCCTTCTGGTTCTTAAGATCTGCCCCACCTTAGGAAGTCATTGTTCACCTGCTGTTATGCAAGGTGGCTAGATACGTGTTAAACTTTGTGGCATTTGGACTAAATGACCTTGACACTACTTACAGTTTTCCAGCAGCATGGATTGGGAGAGTGTCTCCTTGAGATCAGACCAGGCTATGAGGTTATGTCCCGGCCAATGAGAAAAGTCAGGGGTATCATATTTTAAGCCTGTGGGTGATTTATACAATTATACCAGAATTTTGTCAGGGAAATATTGAATCATGGATTGTTTGGCATAGGAGGGAAACCTTCATCCTCAGTAGCTAGTATCTCCCACTGAGCTGGATTTCACTTAAAAATACCAAAAATCATACATTTGAGCATTTTGACAACTAATGCAGCTATCAAGGACACAAAGAATAAACACGTGCACTTAGTCACTTCTAAAGTCACTTTTAAAGAGCAGTTGTTTTTAAATTGTTATGCTTTCCTTTTTTAAAAAATTCACATTAACAATGGAAGTATCTGTAGTTTGCTCAAGAAGACAGGAACTTTATTGTTCCTCTGCTTAACTCTTACAATTATGGTCTGAAGAATGGCCATGAAAAATCTGGGGAATTCTAGACACTGGCAACGAGAGAGCTACAGAATATGATGTGCTTGGCGTTTCCTCACCATAGGAACAAACCTCATGAATATGGATGTGCATTCCTGTAGCGTCATTCTCTGGCATTCCATATTACAACAAAATGGCCCAATATGAATGAATAAAATATGGCTCCTCTTAGCTCACATTCTGGTCTCAACAGTAACTCCATTCATAGTCCCGCAATAGACTCAATATAGACACAAGTAATAACTGCAGTGTGTATAAAGACAGTTCATGGGTATTTAAAAAAAAAAGTGAGGAGAGCAGTAGTTTTGTCTCTGAACCTAAGACCACCTCATCTTATTGAGATGACTGCTCACTGATGTCATAGTTCCTCTCGTGACAATGAGTAGCACACAAATTAGAGTAACAGAAAAGCCATGTTTATCCAAATATTCAATTCAACTGACACCTGAGATTGCCCAATAGGTTTTGGCAGTTACCTTTCATTGTCAGTACATTTCACAAAATGTCACAACTGCCCAGTCTCCTTTGAGGAGGCTGAAGGAGACTTTTGCAGGAGGAACTGCAGGGAGGACGTGTGGGTGGGAGCTCCTGGTCATTGGGTGTGCGAGGATCGATGGCCATAGCCCTGGACCCTAAGTCCTGCCCTGACCTCTAGTGCCTGACAGTTGCAGAACATGTCTGTGAGGACAGTCCTTTGTCTGGACACACAGACTAGCCCTACTCAGATCCCTGCTACCATTCCTCTCCTGCTTCTCAGTCCCCACCCCCAAGGTCCCAAACCACTTGCCTGAATCTGTTTTCTCTGGGGGGATTTCAAATCTGTTCCTGTACCAAGAGGCACATTTTCATTTCCAAAGGCAACAGCAGTGTTTTTCTTTTGCCAGGATGAACATATATGTGATAGAAATCAACCTTTTGACACACACACACACACACACACACACGCACACACACAGAGTCATTCCCTCCTGTCCTCTTCCCCTTCCTCCTTTTCTCTCTCTGTCCCCCAGGTCCCCTAGCTATTGGAACTGCCAGCAGTCCTTCAGCTCTCTCTGGGCCCTTCTCTCTCTTCTTCCCTATGCATTTCCTCTGTCCCCAGCACCTTTCCCTCAACCCGCCTCTTGAATTCTCTACCTCATTTGTGAACATGCCCCTGGTACTGTATGGTCCCTGTTTTTTTTGTTGTTGTTGTTGTTTTTTAAGTTATAGGTAGACACAATATCTTTATTTTATGTTTATGTGGTGCTGAGGATCGAACCCAGTACCTCACGCATGCGCTCTACCTTTGAGCCACAACCCCAGCCCCTTGTCCCTGTTCTTATTCATTTATTTGTTTCTTTCATGTTCTCTTTCCTGTTTCCTTTGTGGCCACAATAGTCATCCCAACTTTGCAGTTATTTCAGTCTAGAATGTGATTACATTTTGCCTCATTTTTTTTTTGCCTCATAAGCATCTTAATGAACCAACATGAGTATTCTAAAAATTAAAATATCAGCATATTTATTCACAATTAAATGGCATCAGAGTATTAGGCCAAGAATTACAATAAAGAATTATTCTTTCCATTATAAGTACAAGAAATAACCTCACCTCAGTTGGTTTGTACATTACTGTTAGGAGAAGGAATGAATTCTAGTGTTTTGTAGCACACTGTAGAGTAACTAGAATTAACAATCATTTACTGTATGTTTCAAAATAGCTAGAAAAGGGAATTTTGAATATTCCTAACAAAGAAATGATAAATGTTTGAGATGATGCATATATCAATTATCCTGATTATACATTGTATTCATGTACTGAAATATTAGTTAACAGTTTATTGTGTATTTCAAAGTAGCTAGAAAACAGAACTTTGTTCTCAGCACAAAGAAAGTATAAGTGTTTGAGGTCATGGATATGCCAGTTACCCTGACCTAATCATCACACCCTATATACATGTATTAAAGTATCACACTCCATAAGAGCATATAATTAGTATATGTCAATTAAACAAAGAAACACATGCATCTCAGTAATTGGGAGCATAGGCAATCAGCAGACCCTGCTTACAGGAGGTGTCCAGGGTCACAGGGTTTAGGACAGCCCCTAGCTCTTGGCCAACACTACTAGGAAGGCCAGCCTGGGAGGACACAGGAACCTGCCCCAGTCTTCTGCCCCTGGGCAGCAGAACCCAGCTGGCCGCTGGCTTTGCAACCCCCTGTCCTCTTGTCTGACTCCATCGTTGTCCTCACGTGCCTGCTTACTGACCTGCTTAGGGTAGACACTAACTGCCGTTTCCTGCTAGGCTTGTTTTTGGAAAACACCTTTTTTTCAACCTTCTCCTCCCCGCAACCCCTTCAGGCTGCTAAAGCTGCCCGTCCCTGGCTGAACTCAAGGCTTTTGATGTGTGCTCCTTCCCCTTGGAGCTGGGGAGCCCTGCTCAGGCTGAAACACCTGCGGGCCAGATCCCCGCCCTTGCCTTGCCACTCCTGCCTGGGCATGCGGGGGTTCCTTGGGCGTGCGGGGAGGGGAGGCTGGGGCCCGTCTCTGTCTGTGTGTTCCTGCTCACTAGGCGAGGCTGGGGGTGGGGGAGCTGGGCGAACGTGGGTGGATTTGGTACCATTGAGTAAGGGAGAGAGGGCAATTCCCTCAAGGGAACTTCAGACAAATATTTTAAATGCTGCATCATCTCTTTATATAACTGCCCCTGCAAGCAGGAAGGACATTGTCAAATTTATGAGGGCTGATGAAGTGCAATGAAAATAACCTTAATGTAATTTAAGAAGACTCAGGTTCTGATTCCTTTGGGGCTACTTATTCTTCCCATAAGCTTGGGCCAGTTGCCTCTCCCTGTGGGACATCTGGCATTTATTTATTTATTTACTTACTTACTTACTTATTTATTAATTAAGTGAAGAGTTTTGAATAGGTAATTGCTAAGGTTCTTTGCCGGTCTGTGAGATTAAACATTAGCCAGATTAAAGATAAATATCAGAGAATTTTTTTTTTTTGAGGCATATAAGGATTGTGAAACTCAAGAACCTACTATCTAGAGCAGTGGTTCTCAGCTGGGGGCAATTTTACCCCCAACCCCAGGGACACTGGGAAACATCTAGAGACTTTTTTCTTTTCTTTTCTAATCTGGCCCTTGTCTAATTCCAAATACAATTTGTCTTCCCTTCTCCTTATAACTACCATCTACTAGTGGTCCACCCCTCCTTGACCCTTTTCTCCTCCTGGTTCCTTAAGTCTTGGTCTCTCTCCTATTTCGTGATGTGTAAATACTCCAAGGCAAAGAAGTCTGGACTGTTCCCATCCCTTATATGCTCTCGACATTGATCAGGGAAAGACCTGCTGGCCCAGGGACCTTCTTCACCGTGTCTGTGACCCACCATGACCTAAGCATGAGGTCTGGTGTGGGGCTGCAAGCTGGGTGCCAGAGGTGAAGATGGTAGAAGAATAATTTTCACAGGGAACGTGTCCAGAAGAGGCTGGAAATTTCCCTTGTTGTACCTGCTTTAAGAGCTTTCATTTCCCCCAGAGTTTCTACATTTCATGTAACTGTTTTCTGCATAATTTTTGTACTTTTAAAAAAGACTTTCTAGATTTATAGACAAGTCCAAAATCAAAAACATATTTCAACGTTTGGTTCAGAAATATGGTGCCTGTACCCTAGAAAAATGTTGGCATTTCCATGAAAGAGGTGGCTAGATGAAAAAAAGTCCCGGTTTGAAGATGGGAGAGTCAAAGGGACTGGAAGACACGCATGTTCTCTAGGACTGCCTGTGGTTCCCTGGCATGGCAGTGGGTCTAGGAAGCAGCTGGGCTCAGGCGTATGCCTCAGCGCTTCCTAGATATGCTGGGGAACCTGGTTGTGGTTTTTGGGACTGCTTCACTGCTTCAGAATGTCTTTCTTTTGTTCCTCTCCAGCGACAATTGGGCAAGAATATCAAGTTTGGGCAGCGGCCACCCAATGCCATTCCCATGAAGAAGGCAGGCAGTGGAGAGGCCAGCTCAGAAGAGGACCTGTTCCTGGCCAGTCCCATGGAAATTGTCACTCAGCAGGACATCATCCTCTCAGACGCTGAGAACAAAGTAAGTCTCTGCTGTGGAAGACTTGATGGCTGGAATGACTTGATGGCTCCTAAGCCATTCACAGGACTTTAGGCAGTGAACACAGGCTCCTCATGACCCTGCAGTCTGCAGTGGGGAGAACAAGATGGGAGAAGTTTCTCTGATAAGTAGCCCAGGGGTGGAGGGTACTTCCTGGTGCCCGTGAGGTCTCTTTCTAGTGCCTTCCAAGTACCCTTCAAGGCTCAGGTTGTGCCCACCTCTTCTGGGAACACTCCCCTGGCCTCACTTCTGAGTGTATTTTCTCTCTACGTGTGCTGTGCGTCTTCACCACTGTTTCCACACCCATATCTCCCATCCATGTCTGTCCATGGAACTATTCCTCTCTCCATCTCAAAACACTGACTTTCTTGAGGATAAAGTGGGTCTCACCCATCTGGGTGTCCCCAAGATCGTAGCTAGTGCCTGCTTAGGTGCACTGTATAATGACTTGTCAGGTTACGGTGATTTAAAGGGAAATGAAAAAAGAAAACTAAAGGGGTTTAGTGAGCTAGAATCCATCAACAGGCCAGCTTGAAGTCACCCTAGTGTAGAAAGTCATATTCTAGTGCTGACTTATCTAAATTTGGTCTGTTGACACTTTAAGGTAATGCTTTGAGCATATCCTGAATTGAGAGTTTTTCCACCAGCAAAAAGGATGACCTTAAAAAACTTATGGAAAAAGAAGCAAAAGTCCTACCAGTAACCAGAATTGGAAATTCTTAAATGAGGGATGGGACTTCATATGTTTTTTTTAAAAAGGAAAAAACATTTTTTTCAGTTCTGTTTATCAAGGAACATGAAGTTGTGGCAGATGTTATTAAAATGGGCATCTCAGAAGAATTCATGCCTTTTATCAGCTAATATATGATGAGAATATTAAGAAAGATGCAAGTGATTTGCAGAGGAAAGCAAGGAAGGGAAGTGAAGGCTGGTCCATCCCATTGTTCATCTCTGCCTGGCCCTGATGACCCCTGGCACTCACATGTTGACACCCTTTGGGGTGGTGGGTGAAGCAGGGATGGATCCTTCCCTTGCAGTAGGTCTGAGATTGCTCTCCCAGCCTCTCCAATGCCAGGGTCACAGCAATAGCCACCACCCTGAGGCAGAGATTTTGTAAGGACTGAAGCAGCTTCTTCTGTTACCAATGACCTCATAAGTGCAAGGTGCCGTGGCCTTAGAAGAAGAAAGGATCTTTGTTCAGCAGACCTTGTCTTAGATGTGGGTGTTACGGAGATGGGCAAGATTTGCCCAGGAGCTGCTTCTAAGTAGTTTACACCCTAATGAGAAGGGAGTCACACAAGTCAACAAATAGATAAATATAATCATTTCAGATTGGGAAAAGTGTTGGCCACACAGAAAATAAACAGAGTAATGCAAAAGTGAATAACTTGGTGGGGGACAGGATACATCTCTGCATATGAAGTTGAGAGCAGACCAGGCAATGATAGATGGAAAACTATCCCAGCACAGAGAGGCCCAGGACAGGCCAAAAGAAGTCATCCCCAAAAGAGGACGAGGAAGCAGGCCAGATGGCCCAACTGGGATAGAAGGGAGGAGGTGGTGACGCCAGGTGGTGTAGACCATGGGGAAATGGTGAATTCTGTTTTGAAGGCAATAGGAAACCTCTGAGTAATGTTAAGCAGAGTAGTGTTTTAATCAGGTTTGTATTTTCTGAAGATTTTCCTAAGTGTGATGTGAAGAATGGACTTAGGTACAGCAAACTGGAAAGGAAGATCAAATCCTTTTGTATAAAATAGCACCACAAGACATAGCAGGTCTACTAGTCTGAAACATGCAAACGACCTACTGGGGTGCTCTCAGAGGGTGCCTAGGTCACGGGGTGTGAGTCTTCAGCCTTTCCCTTCTCCTTCCCTTCTGTGGTTTTGTTCCCCTCCCTGGGCTTTCACCTTCTCAGCCCTGCCCTTTGCATCCTTGCTTAGAGGGGAGAGATCTGACAGGTGAAGGGGGGAAGAGAGCCAGCAAAGGCGAGAGCTCCAAGGTTGGAGGCCATGTGTGTAACGCAGCTCCGTTTCCCAGGTAAGGTGGCTGATGAGCCGCCCAGAGCTTCTCTCAGCCAGTGGACAGAAACACACAGCTGAGGTGGGGACTACCCAGGTGGGAGTTCATTGAACTCGGGAAGAGGATGGTGGCCCCTCTGCACCTCAGATAGTCCTTGTCAGCAAAGTCCTCACGGTGACTCGTGCTGGTTCTTTGAGGCCAGCTGACCCCTGTGTGGGGGGAGGCAGCCCTGCCCAGGCCCCAGCCAGTGTCTAGTTATTTGCCCAGAACTTCCTGTTCCTGCGTTTGACTCGAGCGCTCTCTCTACTGTTCCAGTCCAGTGATACGCCAAGTTCTCCGAGTCCTCTGAATCTCCCTGGAGCTGGAAGTGAGATGGAAGAGAAGGTAATAGGATTTGAACTTATTTGTTGAGCTTCCTTACTTGAACTTCCATTTTTCCTTCCTACTCCCCCAAATATACTGCTTCATTTTCCATTCCTAACTGTCGCCTTCGTATGTTACTTTAAATGTCTTCAACATGCAACTAGTGGTAGAGGCTGGTGCATCTGTTTCCATGGCAATGCAACTGCTGGAACTGAACCCTGCTCTGAAAAATAGCCACACTCCCAGCATGCTCTGGGGTCTTACAAGTTGGTCGTCTTTCTAAATGTATCACATCCTTCAAGACACTGTTAATCTGCTGAAAAAGCTATTCTATAATAGGTGGAGATACCCAAGTCTGTAAGGAACGGTCCTCTTAGAGATGTGAGAAACGAAAGAGCTGACCTTGTCCTTTCTCTACTTTTACATAATATTTTTTAAATGTTTTGGTGTCTCTTTTAAACTTAGAGCTTTACCTACAGGAGTCTAGGGAGTCTAGAACCGTTTTCCTGAGCACCTTTCTGTAGGAGCAGATCTGCTCTGACGAGGACTTTTCACCTGCACAGGGAACCAGGCCACTTCCCAAGATCCTTTTATTCCCATAAAAGGAATGGCTCAAGATGGTGCCACCACCAAGACAATGACGAAGCCTAGCTGGGATAACTAGATACAGAGCATGGCACTTCAATCTCAACTCCAAGTGCTTATCTCTGTCTTCAGTCTGTCACTTTGGCTCTGACTCCTTTTCCTCGTGCATCTCATAGGGGATGGAAATAAATGTTTAATTTGTCTCTTCTCAACAATAGCTCAGAATTTGATACCTATTATAAAAAGATAGCCATAAATAAATGAAAGCTAAAAGGCCAAAATACTGGAATTATTTTTCAGTACTTCTAGTCATAAATTTATAATGCTCTGGGCTTCCATTTTGCTCCTGGTGCTAGCTTGGTCTTTTATCTTTTGTGCATAAATATGGAGGGTAATTACAAAAAGCAGGCCCTTCAGCTAAACCTCATCAACTCTGCACTGCCAGCACAAGCACAAACACATGAACCCTGTCCCTTCCAGTCCAGGGCTGCCCTTGTGTGTGCAAACTGCCGAGTGTGGCAGATGGGGCTGTGAGCACCCCCTGCTGCAAGTTGGCATTGTGTACCCAGGAGTCCCTTTCTCACCATCTAAATTCTCTGCAGTTACAGGCCTGGCTTCCTACCTTCTCATTTAGTGTGGCTTCTTGTTCAGGTGCCACGGCAGCTCGGATCTTTCTAAATGTGTAATCTGAGACAGTGGGTTTTTTTAGTGGTTGCATTTATATTCCAGAACTGCAGTCTGTTCTGCAGTTCATCCTTTGAAGAATTGCACCTGCCCAAGAGGCACATTTTCACCACTTTTTTTTTTTCCACCAGAAACCTTTTTCTTTCTTTATTTCTTTCTTTATTTATAACTGGGTTTTGAGCCCAGAGGCACTTTACCATTGAGCTACGTTGAGCCCGGTCCTTTTTATTTTTTATTTTGAGACAGAGTCTTGCTAAGTTGCTTAGGGCCTTGCTAAATTGCTGAGACTGGCCTTGAACATGGGAATATGGGCATGGACCACCACACCTAATTTAGGGCCCTTTTTCTTTTAGCTTTTTGGTACACTCAGTACTCTGTGACTTTGGAATGATTATGTCAAAACATTTTTGCCAAGTCCTAGATGGGAACATTATACTTTACTTTGCCTTCATTCCTTGAACAAGTATGTACTGATCACTTACCAAATGAGATTTTCTGCTTGAGCAGAAAAAGAACTGGGACAGAGATGAAAAAGATTCCTTCCTGCCTTGAAGGAACTGAAGTCCTACATAGGAGCAGTGTACATGTACACAGTGTCTGAGAGTTAAAGAGTTCTTAGCACAGAGGTGATCTCGTCCAGGAACCAGCAACCACTAATCATTTTAGGCTTGTGACGTTAAGCCACACAGCATGACTCTCCTTTGTGCTATCCTTTGTAGCACAAAAGCAGTCAAAGACAGTGGGCATGGCTGTGGACCAGTAAAATTCTGTTTATCAAAAATAGGCTGCAGGTGCTTTGGCTCTCCATTTACTATAACCCATATCAATCAGAGTAGGAAAATTAGTCATATAAAGATTAAATGACTCTCACAAGTAAATACAGTCACCATTGGCAGAACAAATAGCATCCTGTCCTTTGATTCCAAAACTAGGGCTCATTTCACTGTACTCCAGCCCTCCTGCTTGCCAGTGTTTCCTGGGCCAAGCTGGGCAGACACAAGATAGAGCGCTGCTGTCGCTGGATTCCCTGCAAGGCATTCTGATCCAGACTGACCTTATATCTTAATCTGTGCTGTAGGTTGCTCCAGTTAAACCGTCTCGGCCAAAAAGACACTTCTCTTCTGCTGGCACCATTGAAAGTGTCAACCTCGATGCCATCCCCCTGGCCATCGCTCGCCTGGACAACAGTGCTGCCAAGCACAAACTGTCTGTTAAGCCAAAAAACCAGAGGGTGTCAAAGAAGCACAGGCGGCTTGCCCGGGTGCGTAGAGCATGTCCTGGCTGACCTGACAGGTGCCCTTGCTTGCTGGGCACTAATTCTGCCAAGTGCATTGGTGTTGGGGTGGAGCCCTAGAAGGATCTAGGTCTCTGCACATTGGGAACTTGAGTGTACCTGCATGTGGGAATCTGCAGGTCTGTCTCCACTGCCCTTTCTGAGATGAGGCTGGTGGACCTCAGAGGGGGAGGTCACGGGTAGAGAGCTTGCCTTTCTAGCCAAAAGGCCTTTAGTCTGACTAGGGTAGACTTCTAAGCACTGGGCTTCAGGGGACATTAATGAAGTTCAAATCTCTCTTATTCTTTTTGTGTGTATATGTTGGGGGAGGCAGATACTAGGGATTGAATTCAGGGGTGCTCTACCACTGCACTACATCCCCTGCCTTTTTTTATTTTTTATTGTGAGACAAATTTCATGAAATTGCCCAGACTGAGCCTCAGACTGGCCATTGCTCCACCTCAACCTCCCAAGTAGTTGGAATTACAGGCAAGCACCACATGCCTGACCCAAATCTCTTTCTTTGTTCATCTTCCTACTTTTTTTTAATGTTTATTTTTTATTTTTAGGTGGACACAATATCTTTTATTTTACTTTTATGTGGTGCTGAGAATCGAACCCAGTGCCTCACGCATGCTAGGCGAGCGCGCTACCACTTGAGCCACATCCCCAGTCCCCATCTTCCTACTTTTGGGCTATCTATTTTCCTGGTGATCATTTATATTAAGAAAAAGGAATTTGGAAATGACAGAAGGGCTAGAGGGTAGACCATAAAGAGGAAGTTTTTCCCTCCCAGTTTACTCTTGCTTGGTGTGACCCTTGCCTGATTTCACCTTCACACTATTCCATATTCTATCCATTGAGGAAACTTCCAAGATTCCTAATGGAGACCTGAAGCCTCGAATAGTTCTGGATACTACATAGGCCATGTTCTTTCTTATACATCCCTATTATGCAGTTTATAAATTAGACAAGAGATTAATTTATAAATTAGGTAAGAGATTAACAACAATTATAACAATTTACTGTAATAAAAGTAAATGTTGGACACAGTGGCATACACCTGTAATCCCAGCTGCTGGGGAGGCTGAGGCAGGAGGATTTACAAATTCAAGTCCAGCCTAGGCAACAGTGGCGGCAAGTCGTCATCTGAAAGGAATTAAAAGAGAGAGAGAATGTGTGTGTGTTTGTGTTATTTAAAATGTGTAAATTATTCCAGGAACTTCCATTTAATATTTGGTTAAGGGCAGGTAACTGAAATCATGGGAAGCAAAACCTTGGATAAGGGGAGACTGCTGTGTGAGAACACCTGTCCCTTTTGAGACTGACAGGGCCGCCTGCATTGTGAATAGGAAGAGTAAGGGTTTTCTGCGAGAAAAGTGAAAGACTAATTCTATTTCCCTTCCCCCTGTTAGGATCGACAAAATGAACCAGGTGGCCTTGATAGGCAGCCTTCCCTGGACCAAAATGGACACCCAGGAGAAGACAAGCACATGTGGCTTGAAGAGGAACCGGAGCTGCTGGATTCTGAGGAAGAGAAGAGACACCAAGAAGACTACTGGCGAGAACTAGAGGCCAAGTGCAAGAGGCAAAAGGCAGAAGCAGCAGAGAAGAGACGCCTGGAAGAGCAGAGGCAGCAGGCCCTGGAGAGGAGGCTGTGGGAAGAGAACAGAAGGCAGGAGCTCTTGGAGGAGGAGGGCGATGAAGTGGGGGGCGAAGAGGAGGAACTCCAGATAGAAATGGAAAAGGAAAGGGGGCCTGGGGAAGGGCTGCAGCGGGGCCCAGAAGAGCAAGGTTGCCGAGAACAAGAGCAGAGGGAGCCGGAGGACGGAGAGCGCCTGGAGGCTGAGGAACGGAGTCCCCTGCAGGAAGAGGCCCAGCGGCTGGAAGAGCTGAGGCAGCGCGTGGCCGAGAGGCAGCGTGAAGCCGAGAGGCAGCGTGAAGCCGAGAGGCAGCGGCAGGAAGAAGAAAAGGAGTTGAAGGAACTCCGAAGGCTGGAGGCGCAACGGCAGGAGGAGGAGGCCAGAAGGCTGGAGGAGCAGAGGCAGCGGGAGGAGCTGGAGGCTCAGAGAAGGTGGGAGCAGGAGGAAAGGAAACGACTGGAGGAGCTCAGACAGCAGCAAGAGGAAGAGAAGCGAAGACAAGAGCTGATATGGCAGGAGGAAATGGAGGCTCCTGGGCCGCAGGAGGCCCCGAAGGAGCTTGGGGATACGCTACAGAGGCCACAGAGACCGGAGGAAGAGAGGCAGCCACAGGTAGAGGCCCGCAGAGGCCCGAGGAGCGCCCTGCAGAATGGCTTTGAGGAGAAGCCAGAAGATGGAGAAGACCTAGAACTCAGAAGGCAACGAGAAAGCTCCGAGCAGGAGCAGAAGCAAGACGCGGGGCAGGCAACAGAGCAGCCTGGGAAGAGGGGCGACTTTCGCGAGGATGATCTTCGCGTCGTGGAGGACAGGAGAGAATCAGCCAAAATGGACCCTCCCCAGCAGCAAGAGGAGCAGAAGGAAGAAACGCTGCCCCTGGGGGAGAAGAACGAAGCCTCCACTCCAGAAAAGGAGAGAAAGGTGGAGGAGCTCAGGTGGCAGGAGGTGGATGAGAGGCAGACCATGCCCAGGCCCTACACGTTCCAGGTGTCCTCCGGAGGGAGACAGATTCTCTTCCCCAAGGTCAATCTGACCCCCGTGACCCCCGCCAAGGACGCGGGACCCAGCCCGGCTGCGCAGGAACCCAAGGCCCCCAGAGCCAGCGCGGCCTCGCACGCCCTGCCCTCCACCCTGAGCATCCCCCATACCGCCATCCTGGTCACTGGAGCTCAGCTCTGCGGCCCCGCCGTCAACCTGAACCAGATCAAGGACACGGCGTGCAAGTCCCTTCTGGGCCTGTCGGAAGAGAAGAGGCACGTGGACGTCCCTATTGTGGAACAGCCCGTCCGCGCCCCGGGCGAGTCCCGGGGAGGCGGCGGGAAAGCCAGGCCTCCGCAGGAGTCGCAAAGCAGTGTGACCGCACTGGCCGAGTGGGCCTCCATTCGGTCCAGGATCCTGAAGAACGCCGAGAGCGAGCCGCGCGGCGACAGAGAGCAGGCAAGGCCAGCGGAGGAGCCCACTCCCAGGGCCCGATCTGACTCCCGCGGGAACCTCCGCAAGACCCCGCCCGTGAACGCCAAGTTCTCCATAATGCCCGCCTGGCAGAAATTCGCAGACGGTGGCACCGAGACCCCCAAACAGAATACGGAGGCAGAGAGCATTAGAAAAAGACCCGGGCCCGGCGAAGAGACAGCGCCCCCGCCCTCGCCTGTTAGTACCCAGGAGCCCCGGAAGGGTCCAGAGAAGCCAGAGGTGCGCCACGAGCCAGCAGACACCACAGAGGGGTGCAAATTTGCCAAAGACCTTCCATCTTTCCTTGTTCCAAGCCTGCCTTCCCCTCCGCAGAAAGCGGTCCACACGGAATCCACAAGCACTGCGCACAGCGAGGCCACAAGTGGTGTAGCAAAGCCAGACCCCGGGATGCCAGGTGCAGAGGAAAAAGCCTCACCTTTTGGAATAAAGCTGAGAAGGACCAACTACTCCTTGCGCTTCCACTGCGACCAACAAGCGGAACAAAAGAAGAAGAAGAGGCACAGCAGCACGAGTGACAGTGGCGATGGGGGGCCTCCTGCCGGGGCCAGCGCCAATGCAGACAAAGAGACAGAGGGCGTGGCCCCCAAGCCTGGCCCATCCCTCCCCCAGGAAAGGAAGCAAGTCCTAACCCCTCGAAGGGACTCTGCTGAAATCCCTGCCAGCCACCCTCCTCCTGCAGCCCAGCTGGGACCCCCACCGTCCAGCAGCCAGGCCCCAGCTCCAGAGCACGACAAGGGAGCAAACAAGATGCCATTAGGGCAGAAACCAGCACTGGCTCCCAAGCCTGCCAGCCAGACCCCGCCGCCATCCCCGCTCTCCAAACTAAGCAGGCCCTACCTGGTAGAGCTGCTGGCTCGCAGAGCTGGGAAGCCAGACTCTGAGCCCAGCGAGCTGTCCAAGGAGGGCCAGGAGAGCAGTGGTACCCAGCCACCATCACCACCACCCCCAGAGGAAAGGAAGGGACAGAAGAGGGAAGAGGATGAGGAAGAGGTGCTGGAGAAGAAACCTTCTTCCCCACCTCTGTCTACCACTCTGCTAGAGAGACCTTCCCAAACGCCTGAGGCAGGGAGGAAAGGTAGGTATTGTAAGGTGGAGCCTTGGTCTCTGTCCAGCTCATATATGCAAGAGCCTCAAATGCTGGCTGGAGTAGCCAGTGACTGATAGAGGCCAGACACCATTCTCAAAGGACACTCACTCATAGTCATAGTGAGACCCTTGTTATTTGATATGAAATATAGTCCTAATTAACAAAGATGTCATTAACCATTCTAAGGGAGATGTGCAGTGATGGGAAAAAAAAAAAAAAACCTAGTTTCCTGGACCAGTGTCTGTGCTCTGCCTCTGGGCAGTAGCTGCACTGAGGTGGGAGGTTAGGGGCTTCAGACATCCCATCCTGTCTATGGGTCCCCTCTATGAATTCTCAGCTTTCACTTAATTTTATGTAAAATGCCCTGCAAATGCAGCCTCACATCCTCCCCAAAGTCTTGCCATTGTGAAGTCCTCCTATAAAGAAATTTCAGAGCACCCTTTACTTCTGGCCAACCATGATGATTCTTTTCTTTCTCTTTCTACATATGTATACTTTTTCTTTTTTCTCTGAACTACATCCTTTTTATTTTGAGACAGGGGCTTTCTAAATTGCCAGGGTTGGCCTCGAACTTGCAAACTTCCTGTCTCAGCCTCCTGAGTAGCTGAGATTACAGGCATGTTCCACAGCACCCAACTCCTAACATCCTTTTTAAATTATCCACTTACCTAGCTTGTTTTTCTGAATGCACATGTTGAGCAGCAGCTTCTAGACTGTTTCTCCCTAATGATTTCTGTTTGTCCTGCTGAATGATGGGTCCATTTTTAGTTTTGACATTAGCTTTTGTGTTGTTACTTTTCTGGCATCTGCAGATTCCCTCTCAAGGCTTGGCCTGTTCTGTTGCTCACTTTCTCTCTCCCTGAAGAAAGAAAGCTCATGCTTGCTTCTTTCTTTTAGACATGATCCTTCAATTATTGTAATTTTCTCACCAAAACTATTATTGCCCAGCATTCAGATTTTGGGCTGTCAGTATCTGCCAATTGAATTTTTCTTGATACAGGGGAAAAAAAAAACATAGAAGCAAGACCCCACACACACCCCCGCCTTATGAGACCTGCTGCCTCCATTCATGGGTGTTTTGCTATTCAACTTGCTGCCAGGGCTGACCAGATTTGTTTAACTGAACACCCCGTCAGGATAAAAATGTTAAGCATAGACTTCAAATTTATTTGTTGGTCGTATACATGTGGTACCATCATTAACTAGCGCCCCTGGGACATCATGTATATTTGGAGTGAAGTTCATTGTAACAACAGTGGATGCTTTGCAAATCATGGTGCCATGTTTTATTTTCTTTGGCCAACTTCTTGTCAAATCTGATCTCTTCATAAAGTGGCAGGCAAAGAGCTCTGCTATTTTCTGATGCTTGCATTCTGTAGTAAATTGAATCTAAGGAGTTCTTTTATGCCATTTGTCTATCCTGTAAAAGATCATTTAGTTAAAAGAGATAGGATATTCCATGCAATCATCTAACTATGGAACCTTCCACTATGCTAAAAGCAAGAATTAGTGAGAACAACGATGCCGTCCTTCCCAACCTCCCCCAACATCCCCCACAATGTAGCCCTCCCAGCTTCCCTCATGATTCTTTAAACATCCTATTTGTTATATATAGTCTTTGGCTATGTGGGCTAAGTGAGTATGTCAGTATGTCTGAGTATTAAATATTAGAAAAGCATTTTTTTATTTTTATACTTAGGTTTTAAAATAGATAAGTAGAAATTCTAATCATTTCTTTCTTCACCCCAGTGAATTGTCTTGCACATCCCCTAGGGTGTAGGCGCCCTTTTTTGAAGACCACTGCTTTACAAAGAGGTCTGAGTTCTGGAGGCTGAACAGGCCTCCAGAATATGTAGGCCACACCCTCTGCCACTCCCTCTGCCAAGCCACTGTATTGATTTTGAACCCACCTCATGGGAATGGGTTGTACTATGTACAGACTTTGATTACTGGTATCATCTCATTCTAGAATTCCTACCTATTGTGGTATGCAGAACAGATAAATAATTAAGTACACCTTTCTCCAAGAAATAACCTTTGGGAGTAGTGACTTGAACCCTGTAACTGCAGGTGTCACTTGCCTGTCCCTTAGAATTGGAAGACAGGAACTTGAGTTCACTGAGTTTAGAATGAAAGACAATAGGTTTAAATTGCAACAAAATCAATTTTTAGTTAGGAATTATAAACTTGCTTCCTAAAAAAGTTATGCAGTTGACAGAGAGCATTCCTGTCTGGTAAAACCTTGATAAAATGAAAGATTTCATTGTGTTTGGATGATTTCAACAGCAGTCCTTCTTTGGATAACTTCCAAGTACATTTATTTACACTGTTCCTGAGACGCTCACCAGCACATATGTTAGATAGTTTGGGCTCTGTTTTGTAGATGTGGACAACAGTATCTGTAAAGTTGGGTGTTTTCCTGGCGTCCACAGTGTTAACACCAGCATGAGTTCTTTCCTACGATAAATTTTCTCCCCATCACTCTACAGCTGCCCCTGGTAATCCTCACCTGGCATTTGTAAAATTCTGAAAGCCTTTGAACACTTTTTACAGCTAGGGATGGTGGCACATACCTGTTATCCCAGCAACTTGAGAAGTTGAGGCAGGAGGAATGCAAGTTCAAGGCCAGCCTGGGCAATTTACTGACACCCCTATTTCAAAATAAAATTTTAAAAATGGGCTGTAGATGTAGTTCAGTGGTAGAGAACTGTACTCAGTTTCAAGCACTGAAAAAAAAATTGTCGATCTGTAGGAGTTGGTTTTTTGTTTCGTTTTTTAGGTTTTTTTGTAGTTTCAGTCCCTTTTCTATTATTAAAAATCCCTCATTTTCAGTAACAGTAGCCTAATAATAATAAAAAGGTTTTTTTCAATTAAAATGTCTCCCTTCTGGGACTTGGGATGTGGCTCAAGTGGTAGCGCACTCACCTGGCATGCGTGAGGCACTGGGTTCCATCCTCAGCACCACGTAAAAAAAAAAAAATAAAGATATTGTGTCCACCTTAAAAAAAAAAAAAAACACCTAAAAAATAAATATTAGAAAAAAAATGTCTCCCTTCTCCCACCTGGCCTGCTTAGGTCTGAAATCCCTTAAGTGGGGATGTGGACATGGCCAGTTCTCCCTTTGCTTTCATCCCAGAAACTGGCTCTGGAGCTAGAGGAAAGGAAGGGAGAGAGGTGAAACATTTTGAGGTTCATTCTTCTTGGGTGCAGTGCTATTTCTTCTGTGGGTTCCTCAGATGCCTTGCCTGTCTCCCTCCACTTTTTCTCCTTCTCTGCAATGCTCAGTAGATCTTCTCCAATCTCCTCTTCCCCCTGCGCCCTGGTTCTCAATCCATCTGCCCATCTCTGTCTCATAGCCCACCTGTGGACCCCAGACACCACTCACACAGCCTTTGCCCCAGCATACACTCTTCTCCATCTGTCAAGAGGAAGACACTTTTATTCTTCTTCCCATTTTTTGAGAAAGGAGAAGCACTTTTATGGATATATGATTGGGGAGAAACACTGTGAGTCCAAGGTAGCTTCATCCAAACCACAGATTCTGTATCCCTAATACACCCCACCATCACAGAACTGCAGCCACCATCTCTCCTCCACCTCTGACCCCAACCAGAGGTTTGGGGTTTTTTTTTTTTCATTTTAGTCAATTACAAATGTATTCAATTATATTTTGAAGGCATTTTTGACCCTTATGATAAGCACCAGTCAATGTTTTTGGCAGGCTGCCAAAAACAATGTTTTTGGCAGACTGAAATTTTAGTTCAAAATTCTCTTTTGTATAATAGCTTTATATGAAAATCATTTAGGTCTTGGCAGTTTGGTTAGAAGTTTTACAAACAAGTGCTCCACAATTCTTGGGTAGGAAACAGGAACTCATCAGGTTAGTTCCAGTATATGTAAACAACTCAGTACCGAAGAAGCTTGAGGGGCAAAGACTTTTTTCAAATTTTCCAGTTAACTGAAAAATTGTCAAAACTCTCCTTTCAATTTCACTTTTTTATTTTGTTTTTAAACCTTCTGATTTAAATATTTTTTTCTTTTTTAAATTTTTTTTAGTTGTAGTTGGACACAATATCTTTATTTTATTTATTTTTATGTGGTACCTCACACATGCTAGGCAAGTGCTGTACCACTGAGCCACAACCTCAGCCCTGTTTTGTTTTTCTTTCTTGTGTTAGATCATACCTGAATCTTTATTTGATGATTAGGGACATTGCAATGTGCAAGTTTCATTATGAGGATAAATTATCTATGTACAGCCTTATAGAAGATGGAAAATTAAGCAGGGGGCCTGAGTTTGTAGCTCAGTGGTAGAGCGCTTACGTAGCATATGCAAGGCTCTGGGTTCTATCCCCAGTCCCAAAAAGAAAAAGGAAAATTAATTAGAATCTGCTTTTATTGCCTTTATTATTGTTGTTGTTTAAATTCCTCATTGAAACTTTCTAATTTGTTTTCTCATCATTTGGTCTTTGTCCTCACCCTGGAGCACAATATAAAAAAGTCAGTTGACCAAGAGCTCTGGTGGCAAGATTCTGGACTATCAAAGAGTAAACTTCTGTCGGATTACAAAAGAACAGGACTAGAATAAGCCCCTTTCCTTTGACTTGGTAAAGAATCCAATTCAAGAATGATTGTCTCTTTACTTTTTACTTGAGAGTAAAGAAGAGGAACCTTTGTCTCATAGACATAAGTAATAGTTACAGCTCATTTTTGTAGAGTGACAACTATATGCCAAGCATTGTTCTAAATATTCCGATCACCAATATTGTTCCAAATATCCTCATCAGATAAGGCATGTGCTATTATTTTCATTTTATTTATTAGAGAACTAAAGGTAAAGTAGCTCTTCTACAGTCACAAGATCAAAGCCAGACCTGCCCAGTGTCAGAGCCCCATACTTACTCTGATACCAACCACCACCTGCCAGGTGTGAATCCCCCATTGCAGTGACTGGAAGTCAGAAGACTCAGGCACAACTGGTTTACTGTGGATGCTGGTACTCCCAGCAGACAGATGAGGGCATCGGACCAAAATCATGGGATTCTTCCTGTGTTCCTCAGAGCCTTGCTACCCTCAGCAGCTCCTGAGGCAGAGCAGTGCCTGTTTGTCTTTCAAACATTGGGGTTCCACATAGAATGTTGTCTGCAAGAGTGGTGTGCAGGGACATGGCTATTGCTAAAAAATAAATTTCATTAAAGCAGTGAATTCAAAGAAAAACAACCTTGAGCCATATAACTGTCTTGGTCTCCTGTAGACATGAGATTTGATGACACTGAAAATTTATTTTTCTTGCAAAGTAGCTTCTTCCATGTCTAAGGAAGAGAAATGCCCCTTTTTCTATTGATCAAAGATGATACTTTCCCACCCAGTGGAGCCCCTCAGGCAACAGCACAGATTTGTGTGAAGAAGGAATGTTTCCTAGGCTTATTAATATGCCACAAGACTTAGGGGATAAGGAACTGAGACAAGTTAGCAGTTAATTTCACAGCCAACCTCTTTTGTCTTTTTCCCCACAGAGAAGCCGGTGCTTCAGAGTAGGCACTCTTTAGATGGCTCCAAAATTACAGAGAAAGTTGAAACTGCCCAGCCACTGTGGATAACGTTAGCACTACAAAAGCAAAAGGGGTTTCGTGAGCAGCAAGCAACCCGAGAGGAGAGAAAGCAAGCCCGAGAAGCCAAACAGGCAGAAAAGCTCTCCAAAGAAAACGTGAGTAGCCTGCTCCACTGCTTTAATTTTGTTAGTCTAAGTTTGACCCTCTTTTAAGTCACAAGAACTAAAGAAAGAGAGGGAGACAGACAGACAGGAAGAGAAATGATAGGAGAGGATGATAGAGTTTATAGAAAGCAGAGTGGTAAATAAATTGACCACTTTTAAAATGGGGGACCAGCCAATCATGGTGGCATACACCTGTAATCCTAGTTACTTGGGAGGCTGAGGCAGGATGATTGCAAGTTCAAGCCCAGTACCACAAGAAAAGAAGAAAGGAGAGGAGAGAGAGGAGGGGAGTGGGCGTAGAAGGGGAGGGGATGAGGAGAGGAAGGAAGAATTGAAGGAACAAAGGATTGATCTGAGATGATATATACATAGTAGGGATCCACACACAACATAAGTATAGTAGTTCTCCTTATCTGAGGTTTCATTTTTCATGGTTACTTGAGTTCAACAGTGGTTCCAGAAATAACAATTTATGAGTTTTAAATTTATGAGTTTTAATAATGTGATAAAATCTCATGCTATCCCATTCCATCCTTTGGGACATGAATCATCCCTTTGTCCAGTGTTTCTACACTGTATGTACTACCTCCCTGTTAGTTACTTGGTAGCCATCTTGGTTATCAGATCAACTGTCACAGTATCACAGTGATTGTATTCATTTTACTTAAGAATGGCCATAGGGGCTGGGGCTGTAGCTCAGTGACAGAGCACTTGCCTGTATGCATAAGGCACTAGGTTTGATCCTTAGCACTGCAAAAACAATAATAAAAACACAATAAAGGTATGCAATCCATCTACAATGACAAAAAAAAATGGCCATGAAGCATAAGAGAAGTGATATTGGCAATTTGAATATGCCAAAGTGAAACTGTGGAGTATTTTATTGGTGTGTAAAGGTGAAAGTTCTTGACAATATTAAATATATCAACATTGCTAACATCTAAGGTAAGAACAAAACATAGTATATGAAGGGTTCATTACTGTCCATGATTTCTGCAATCTACAGGTCTTAGAATAGATCCCTCACGGATAAGGGGAGAGTACTGTATATGAAAAATATGAAAATGATTTTATTTGAGCAGCAGTCAGAGAGCAAATCCAGAGCCTGTTCTGTAACCTGATTTCATAGTCAGCTTGATGGGGCTTTTCTGGAGAATGACTTTCCTTCCTTGGTACACGGGCACTGAGCTGCTCCCTCACTGGGGGCCAGGCTTGAGCACACATTGCTCATAAGTGTGTCCCAGCCCTTCCTGTGGGAACAGAGGTCAGAGCTGGCAGATGGAACAGGACTTGAAGCTCTCCAGTTCAGGCATTTCCACGTCACAGGTTGAAAACATGCTTTCCCTGTCTCTGCCCACCCAGGTCAGTGTGAGCCCGCAGCCTGGAAGTGGCAGTGTCAGCAGAGCAGGTTCCCTGCACAAATCCACAGCTCAGCCAGAAGAGAAGAAGCCTGAGACTGCAGTGTCCAGGCTCGAGCGCAGAGAACAACTGAAAAAGGCCAACACTCTCCCTACATCTGTGACAGGTAGGGAGCTGGTCCATTCCTGTTTGATTTTGGTTACACGTTTCTCTTAGGACATGCTTAATTTCCTATATGTTCTCACTAGCAAGCACTTTGGGCATCACAGAGTGAAGTCTAGAACCCCATTCATAAACTTGCATATTGATAAAGCTCATCCAATAAAGACCACCAGGAACTTGCCTTCTATCAGTGGTATGATGGTAAATGTTTAGCCATCAGCTCTTCTGGGCGTGGAGAAACCTCTTAGTAGCATTTGCCATTTTCCATGGTGTAAATTCTTCCACTGTGGCCAATTTGAAGCTACTAACGTGACATTAACTGGTCAACTGGCCTAATTTTTTTTTTTTTTTTGATGGAGGAGTCAGGAATTGAACCCAAAGTGCTAGGGATGTGGCTTAGTGCTAAAATGCCCCTGGGAATCCCCAGTATCCCCAGAAAAAGAAAAAAAAAGATAAATGAAATCTCATATCTAAAATCTCCTACCTTGGAGCTCTACACCTTAGTTGGAAGTGGAAACTGCTTCTTTGTGTCCTAGTGACCCATGGTGGCTCAGATGCTCCAGGCAAAACTATGACGGTCCCTTCTCACTGCTGTGATTTTAAACAGCATTTCTTTTTTTTTTTTTTTAAATATTTATTTATTTTTAGTTTTCGGCGGACACAACATATTTGTTTGTATGTGGTACTGAGGATCGAACCCGGGCCGCACGCATGCCAGGCGAGCGCGCTACTGCTTGAGCCACATCCCAGCCCCTAAACAGCATTTCTTATAGTCTAAGATTTGCAGTTAAGTTTCTCAGCACTGTGTCCTTGATGTAATTAACAACAGGAGTTTTGGGGTTTGTTTGTTTGTTTAGTATATATGTTGCCAAAGCAATAACAATTTTCATATTTTCCTAACACATAAAAGACACTTTTTTAAAAAAACAATCTTTATTCTGTTAAAAGATAAAATGATCCAATAGTTTCCACTGTTTTCTTATTACAACTCACATGGAAGATAGATGAATCTGAACATATTTCCTCCCAGGAGTTAACATAGCATCTCTTTTCCCTATTTGGCAGCAATGTTGCCCAAAGAGCATCTATCTTAGTCTATTTTCTGCTCATGTAACAAAATACCTGAAACTTCATAGTTAATAAAGAGGGTCTCTCTCTCTTTTTTTTTTTTAGCTCATAGATAAGGAAATCCAAGATTAGGCAGCTGCATCTGGTGAAGGCCTTTTGCTATTAAGGTAGAAAGAGGATGGGCAAGCCGGGCATGGTGGCACACACCTGTAATCCCAGCAGCTTGGGAGGCTAAGGAAGGAGAGTTCAAAGCCAGCCTCAGCAACTTAGTGAGACCCTCAGCAACTAAGCAAGACCCTGTCTCAAATAAAATTTTTAAAAGGGCAGAGGACATGGTTTAATGGTTGAGTGCCCCTGGGTTAAATCTCCAGTACCAAAAAAAAAGAAAGAAAGAAAGAAAATGGATGGGCAAGTGGGTGGAAAAGAGAAAAGGGAGGTGAATTTATGTGCTAGCTAGACTATTCATGTAATAAAAACATTCATCATCTATTCAGAAGGCTTGCCCCCATGACCCAAGAACCTTCCTGTCAGCACCACTTTCCAACACTGTCACACTGAGGAATTAAGTTTCCAAAAGATGAGCTTTGGGGGTCACAAACTGTAGCAGTGTCCCAACCACCAGGCCACGCTTCTCTCTGGTTACCTGGTCCCTGAGATCTGGCTATATAAAGAGGTCTCAATATTAAACATGTATTTACTACTTGGTGAAATGGTGGGGGTGCTTTCTGTTTGAAAAAACATTTTAGAACACTGTAATTTCTCTAGAAACTCCATAGGCATTATCATTGGCTTTTACATATAGGAATTAAAGATAGGTAGGATGGCAGCAGGAAGGGAAAGAGGGAATTTCTTTCAAAATAAAATAAAAGCTCTGAAATTGAAGAGCGCATACCTTTCCCTGCCTGATTGGAAGTACAAAAGGGAAATCACAACTCAACAGTGGCTCCAGTTTAATGAAACAGACATTTTCTGAAGTATTTGTCTTTCAATCATTATTGCCTGAGTTCTAGAAGCATATGTGTAGGCAATGGGGTGGGGGCGGGGGCAGTCACTAAATGTGATCCAAAGAGAAGATGTGAACCCTCTCACTTTCTCACAAAACTCTCTCGCAGAAGCCTGTAAGCTCTGGTAAAGATGTGAGAGCTACTGGGGTTGTGGCTCAGTGGTAGAGCACTTGCCTTGCACATGTGAGGCACTGGGTTCGATCCTCAGCACCACATAAAAATAAATAAATAAAGGTAGTGTTCATCTACTACTACAAAAAAAAAGAAGTGAGAGAATGCAAAGGAATTCCTAGAAGACTGCAAGTCACAAGAGCTGGCAGGATTCTTGAGACTCAGATGGAGGGACCCAGGGGATGTTTTGTGGAGGAGGCAGCTATTAACCCTGCCAGATTGATGGATTCAAACTGCTTTGATCTTTTTCTTTATGGGATTGATTGGTTGTATAACAGGAATTACAAAATTTGCCTTTATTTCTTGTATTCATGCAGGCATAGCTATTGTGTACAGAAAACTAGGCTTCTAGAAATCCACTGAAATTCGAACTTACTGCACTGTGATCACTGTAATTCTCTAAGCAAGTTATAACCACATAGCTTGCTTTCCCCAGATCTTCTCACTGAAGCCCACCTAGGAACTTGCCTCTCTTTTGTTTCAGTTTTCCTCATCATACCGATAATTCAAAATGTGCTTCTGCAGTAAGAGATGGGGAGATGTGGGCTACAAAATCTCATTTAGGGCTGGGATTGTGGCTTAGCGGTAGAGTGCTCGCCTAGCACATGCAAGGCCCTGGGTTCGATCCTCAGCACCACATAAAAATAAATAAAATAAAGATATTGTGTCCAACTACAACTAAAAAATAAATATTTTAAAAAATTTTTCATTTAGATAAGATACATATTTGTGCAACATGGTGCCTATGATTAATAAGAATCTATTCTTGAAAAATGCTAACAGTAGATTTTAAATGTACTCAGCACAAAAAGGTAACTTTGTGAAGGAATGCATGTTAATTAGCTATATTTTGCTATCCCACAATGTGTATATATATTTAAAACATTATGATATACACAGTATCTACATATAATTCTGTTAATTAATATTTATTTATTTATTTTTTTAGTTTTCGGCGGACACAACATCTTTGTTTGTATGTGGTGCTGAGGGTCGAACCCGGGCCGCACGCATGCCAGGCGAGCGCGCTACCACTTGAGCCACATCCCCAGCCCAATTCTGTTAATTAAAAAAAAAAAATTTTTAATGTGGTTCTGACTTATTCCTTTCTCTTTTTGCTTCCAAACAAAATATAGTGGAGATCTCAGACTCAGCTCCCCCAGCACCACTGGTGAAAGAAGTCACCAAGAGATTCTCCACCCCAGATGCTGCCCCTGTGTCCACGGAGCCAGCCTGGCTGGCTTTGGCCAAAAGAAAAGCGAAGGCCTGGAGCGACTGTCCACAGATTATTAAGTAAAAAGTAACTCTTACCCATTCCTATTGCCTGTTATTGGCTCCTCTCTTGCCCTTTTTATTTATTTATTTTTTATATGAGGTAAAGAAACCAAGTTAGGGAAAAGAAGCATGTTTTATAGGTTCTATAATAATGTTTAGAAACTGAACTGGTGGTGTTCATTGTAAAGAGTGGATTTGCACAACCCTAGGTCCTGGTGCCTTGAGCTCCCCCTAATTCTCAAGAGTCAATTCCGTCCAAGGGACCACATGAAGCAAAATGTCCAAACTAATAGCTCCTCTTGAAAGCCTACCGTGCTCATCCCATGGTCCTTCCACATGTGTACACCCACACACCATTCAGGACATGTACTTTTGCCAACCTTTGTAATGTTTTTTTTATTCTCTACCCTTAATTTCTTCTATCCAAAACATGAGTGTTACCATATATTTGGGTGCATCTACTCTTTCTACAACAATGATAAAAGGATTTTATGTAAGTTAGAACAAGAATCCCTATCCTCCTGAAGGCAGTAACTGGGAATCACAAGGAGCAGTCTGCCTCCCAATTCTGTGCCCATGTCCAGTTTTCATGAATTCCCCTTCCCCAAAGCTATCAGATGGAAGGCAAATCCATTCACTCTTCTAGCACACTGTGGACCCACAATACCATCAACACAGTGTGAGTCTCTGTCATACTAGTACCCTCAAGGACATGTGAAACATGCGGCCCAGTTGGCTCCTAGGGAACATTTTTTATTTAATGTGGCAAAGAAAGGAGATCCTATATTAATTACAAGTTCTTGTTCTAGCTCTGAGACTCTCTACCTAGAGCATGTGGGTCATAAGGTATCCAGGCTACATCCCAGGCTTACTGAATCAATCCTGTGAGACCAGGGCCAGGAATGCACATGCTGGCAAGAATTCTTGAGGTGATGCTAATGTATCTAATGTTATGAACCTTGGGATTCACTTATTCTAATGTAGTCTCATTTTCTAGACTCTGAAGGGGCAGCTCATTCAAACAAAAGTGAGATAATAATAATAAACAGCTACCTAAACCAGCCATTAATTAGAAAGATACGTCAGGCTATTGACATTACATGTCTCTGAAGATTCCCTTTGGTCTTTAGGGAAAATTTGCAGAAAGCCAAGATTTGAAGCCTTTGTACTAAGGATTTCCTGCAGGAATTTTTTTTTCTTTGCTATAATTGAACAATTCATACTTAGAGTCAAATGTTCAGTAGCATTTAAAATTCAGAGTATTCACCTTGCTACCTTTAAAAAACATCTCAGAGTTTTAAGTGGCCTTGTTATTATCATACACATGTGCATACTAAAAAAGGATTTTGCAATTTCAAAGCCACACATATTTATTTTTATTTCCCTAAATTTGCTTTACACAGAACACAAACATACCAGCAAATCCTTTCCCACCACATACTGTGGCACTAACTTTATATTTCATGGTATTGGCATATTCCCCTTTTCATAGATTCTTACTCCAAAATGTAGGTGCAAATTCTTGGCCCAGTGCAGGGGGAATTACATCCATTTTCCTCTCCTACAAAAACATTTTATAGTATTCATTATTACTTTTCTAGTATACATTATTACTTTTACTCAATATGCAATGTGCTGTCCTTAAAGAAAGAATGACAGCAAAGTTATTCACCATATTGAAAGCACTTTCTTTCTAGAAACAATGGCTCAGCTTCACTGTAGCAGCTGGCATGTGTGGCCAAATGGATAGTTGTTCTCTTACAAATTGGATTTAATATTATATATACTGGACCTTCAAACTGTTAAGAATCAATGTAACATTTTTTTATTGCTACTGGAAGCAATTAATATCCCACTGCACGTTTTCCATGCTGATGCTCATTTCTAAGTCTTATGTGTAGGCATTTGTTAGTACAATGACTTCCTCACTGATAAAACACTTTTTAATGGGAATCGCCACCTAGAACACTGGAATTATAGTGCTAAGGTAATTCTTCTGAATTGACTTTTCCTTTCATCTTATCAGCTTTGGACAATATCACAGTAATGGCAGGGAACAGATGAGGAAATAAGATCATTAACAAAGAATGGAAGATTAGTCAAGTCTGTACTGGCTCAGGTCTCATACCAAGTAGGAGAAATGCCTGAGTTAAAAATGCTCCATCTATGTTTTTTTAAGAGTCTATGGGGTAAAGGCAGTCACCATATTTATTTCTAACAACTTCTAAAAGGTACATGTTTAACATTTCATTTACACATCACCCCAAATTTGCACTAAATACCAATGAAGTGTTATTTTGATTTAGTTGTGTTGTAGTCTTTTCTGAGCAACAAAACTATAGGAAAATTCTGTAAAACCATATAAAGAGCTTAAGAGTTTTTTTTTTTAATGGATGATTGTTAAATACATGAGGTTTTTGTTTTATTTTGAATTTAAATACACTTCTGGCAAAATTATAAATGATTAACCTCTGGTTCATAGACTTATATGTAAAACTAGAGTTTTTTGTTTACTTTTTTAATTTTTCAAGTGCAATTGTTTCTTACAAATATTATTACTATTAAATTATCAGTTTAGCCAGTTATCTGCAAATGTATAGTATGTATTGTCTCTTCTTGTGACATTTAGTTTAATTGCTTATTTTAAAGCAGAAATATTAGCTACAAGTGTCTTGCAATATTTTTACCAACAATAAAGCTAAGTAGAGACTTAATGAAAATACCTTAGTGTGATTTTAATATTATTTTGGGATTTTGGTTGTATAAAGTTTTAATGTAAAATGTCCATTATTGAAGGGGAAAAGATCTTTCAATAAAAAATACCAACAAGATCTTTGGCACTGGTGGATTTCCTTTTTAAGCTGAAGTTTATACTTATTTGATGACCATCTACAAGTAGTCTCAATTACAGAGCTATTGGGAAAAAGAATTTCAAAGTGTTTTATATAGTACTTAATTATACTTTTCCTAGGTATTTTGGAGAAAATAATTAACAGGGACAAATGTTTGTTTCAATCCTGAATGACTTGAGTCTCAAGACAAAATAATCCTATAGCCTCCTTACAGTGCAGACCATGTCCAGACAGGTCAGCTTTAGTCAAGAGCCTGTGACAGTGCAGCTGGGGCTGACTCACAGGGCTGGACCAGGGTGAAGTAAGGTCAATCAGGCACTTGCCTCAGGTGCCAAAAAACTCAGTAACTAGAGAATTTTATTTTAATGCAATATTTTAAAAAATCAAAATGCAAAAAAAAATATTTTTAAATACCACAGTGGAAAAAAGTCCAAAATTTTAAGTCAAGTCAGGTTCAGGAGTACTGATTTTCCTTTTGCTGCAGGCTCCAGCGTCGCTCATCAGGGCACCCCACTCTCAGCCTTGCTCAACCCAAATGTGCACAAGAACTCCAAGTGATTAAGTGATTAAGGCTTGAGATACACTGATCTAAAAGGTGAAGACAGGTCTTTTAGACAGTCAACACTAACATCCCCTGCCTGGGGCACTGTTCAAGTCATGGGTCTTGATGGGAGCACCCACTTCCTACCACAGATGTGCTTTACTATACTGCTTTGAGGGTGTAGAACCTGTTTCACTTTAAATTGGAAGAGAATGAATTGGGAGCAACTGAACAAAAGATGGAAGAACTGTGAAGAAGCCTGTAGTGATGCCAGTCATGGGGAGCAATTCCCAGTATTAATGGAGGGAACCAAAAGTGGAACATTTAGAACTTAAAAGGATAGCAACCAACTTGTGAAGAATTTGAATAGGGCTCAAGCTATGTAGCCAGGAATGCCTAAAATCACCATAGATCAATTTGAAACTACATAGTGTGTGTGGCGGTGTGGGGGTGTGTTTGTGTGTGTGTATAAATTCTACATTGGTACTTTAGTTCACTTAAAAAATATCAATTATGAGGATGTAGTTCAGTAGTAGAGTGCTTGCCAACCTGGTCTGATCCCCAGCTACACACATAAACACACACCAACAACAAAAAGGAACTTAATTTGACAGTTCCTACCTTTGAAAAGCTTTTGCTGTAAATCTCAGTGTAAATAAGTGAATGGTGAATTGCATCACTGTCTGTTTCCAACCCATTGAGTTATATTTCGATCTTTTTTTCCCACAGAGGTCTTTTCTTAAAACCCAAACCCATACAACTGGCCTTTTAGGGTTCTCTACAGAAATATCATCAACAGGACTTTAAAAAAAAATGTGTGTGCATGTACATATGTGTGTGTGTGTATTTATATATGTATGTATATACATGTATTTATATGTATACATATATATATATTAAAAGACTTCTTATACACAACATATAAAATATGTACCACTAATGTGAGTTCTCCACAGAAACATAACCAATAGGAGATAGGGAGAGATTAATTGATGGAATATGGGAATTAACTCATCTGACAATCGAGGCTGAGAAGTCCCATCATCTACTGGGAAAGCATGTGATATAATTCAGTCCAAATCTAAAAACCTCAGAACACGGGCCTGAGAAGCTAGGAGAGGTAGTAGTTGCTGGTGTAGGTCCCATAGTCCAAAAGCCCCCAAATCAAGAGCTCTGATGTCCAAGGGCAGGAAAGATGGTTACTCCAGCTCAAGAAGAGAATCTGTCCTTTTTCTGTCTTTCTGTTATATTTAGGCTCTTATCAGATTGGATAATGCCCACCCACAGTGGCCCATTGGTCAAGACAGACCTTCACTCAAGTTTATTGCTTCAAATTCAAATTTTAATCTGTTCTAAAAACACCCTCACAGGCACACCCAGAAATAGTGTTTTAACAACTATCTGCCCATCTGTCTTAATCCGTTTTCTATTATAACTGAATACCACATTACTACAGACTAGTTATTTTGCTCTTAGTTCTGAAAGCTGAAGTTTAAGAGCGGTAGCTGCATCTGACAAGGTTCTTTTTGTTGGAGGGGATTCTCTGCAGAGTCCCAAGCCTGTACAAGGCATCACATGTCAAGACAATGTCCTAGCTCAGGTCTCTTCTTATAATAAGCCACAGTCCAAAGGGATGAGGGCCCCACCCTTATGGCCTCACTTAACCTTAATCATCTCTGAAAGGT